TGCAACAGACACCATAAAAGTCCCTCTCTGAGGAGGACAGTAAATGAGAACACAATTCTCAGAAAACATATTGGTCTTGATAGCAGCTGACCTGCTGGATCACAGGATGGTTTTTAAGTTAAAAAACAAACAAACAAACAAAATATACCTGGGTACCAAAGTTAGCCTCTCTTCCATCTTTCTGTCCATTGTTCGGTATCTCTCTCTCTCTCTTTCCTGTTCTCCCTCCTTACCTCACCCCCCTGCTCTAAAAGTAATTGTTCTACAACTCAGGCTCTGAGAGAGCCCTGAATATAGTTTATCAGCCAGGGCTTTGGAAAGAAAACAAAACAACCATACATGGCCATCAAGCTTAGCTTTGTTTGGGCTGAGGCTTCTTTGCTTACAGGAGACAATCGATGTCTCTGCCTCAACCCCACTCTTGTCCACTGCCCCCGGAGGAAACAAAGCCAGCGGAGACAGAAGGCACAGCCACCATTCAAAGATCTCAGCACACCTGAGCTATACAAGTCCTCAGCACTGTCTCCCAACAGTACTGGGACAGAAAGTGGGACTGCTGAAAAGCCTCCCCAGACTCATCTCCAAGCCTCTAGTCCTCCCCACACATCTGCCAGCCCCTTTCTTTTTTGCCTTTCTACTTCATTAAGCTCTTTCCGATCTATCATGCCCTTTGATCACCAGTCCTCACAAAGCCAGCAGGCTCTTTCCTATGTGTTAAGGCCTAGCTGAAATACCCTTTCTGATGCCTTATCCTGACTCACCTAAGTTGTGGTGGCTGGTTCCTTTGAGCAGATTTCTTATTCTAATGATCACCATCAAAGGGCCTGTTCACATGTCCATCTTATGATCTGGATGACACAGGCCATTCCTTCTTCATCTTTGTGTTCATGGTACCCAGCATATAGCTTTTCTTGTACTGGAGTTCCAAGCCAGAGGCAACTTCAAAATTATAGCATTACTCTAGTCTGAGACCTAAGTGCCTTTGACTGTACCTAACAGAATTCACCTGAAGAACATAGTTTAAGTTCCATGCACATGTATCTCCCTAAAGCCAGAAGCCAGCTGCATTAGAAATCTGCCCAGTTAAGAGGAGCTATCCACAGTGGTAGCCAACAAAGTGTGACAATAGAGGTCTGAAGACCAGGCACCAAGCCTGGTACCCCACCTTGCCACCTGAGCTGGTTTATCATATTGGCTAGGCTATAAAAGCATCAGTTTACATATAAGTGGTGCTCAAGGATCTTGAGTCTAGCTTTTTTTTTACCCCAGTAAAACAGCCTGTAGGGATTTTTCAGATCAGCCAGCTGGTGACCTAGGAGATGGGATAAAGCCAGTAGATGCCTAGGGCCTGAAGAGGAAGGCTGAGCCACATGAGATCCGCAGGGTCCCAGATGGGCCAATGAACAGGAAAGTTTTCACCCTGCTCTACCCTATAAAACAGTTCTCACTGGAAGATTTCTGCCACGCTAGCCCTTGCACATACCAGGTGACATCATCCCATTGAAGTTTTAGGAACAATCTGCCAAAAGAAACAAACTCAGGGGGATTACAGCTGTGTAGTACAGCTGTAGAGGAAGCCAGAGTACACAAATGCACAGGTTGCTGTGCAAGTTAGCCTGACCAACGGACCAAGTGGTCCAGAGACTAGCAAAGAAAGGGTTCAGCTTTCAAAGCCAGGGCTGCTCTAGGGGAAATTCCAAGATGGTGAAGTGATCAGCTGTAACCTTGTATCTGGTGTTATACATAACTCACATGGAGAGTCAGGAACTGGTTCCAAATCTGCCTCTCTAATAACACAGATGGCCATTACATTTTCTTAACAGGTTTTACCTTTAATAGGTAAATGTTCCTCCTAATTCTTGGAGAGTAGTTGCCCTCTACATCTCATCAAGTATAAGGTAAGAGAGACAGCCAATGTCATTTATTCATCTATCCTCAGTTCACTGATTTCGTCATTATTCATGTACATGATGCACAGGGCAAAGACCACATGCTCCAAAGACAAAACTGGGTTATAAAGTTCCAATCCCTACGTCTACAACTATCTCTTCAGGCAGGAGTGTTGACTTCATCCCTCCTCCATTTCCTATCTTCCACTTCCAACACCTCTAATAAGTTCTAGCCATGACTAGACACACTGATGCTTCATTTAGCATCAAGGTTAGTGGTGCTGACCCAGTACTGTGACTCAGGCCCAGCCCAACATCCTTCTGTGGCTGTAGGTTAGTCAAGGATTAAAGGAAACAAGAATTGTAAAGATAAAAGCACCATCTTACATCACAGGTATAGCACAGGTGAAAAACTCAGTGGATTTAGGTTTTCATTAATGTATTCCATAAACAATCAGTTCACCTTTGCTGGGCACTCAATATATGCCCAGCAGCAGACCAAGTCCTTTACTTGCATAGTTCTGGTATTCAGATGTCTATGTGAATGCTGGCCCTGTGAACCAATGAGCTGTGTGTCTTTGAGCAAACTGTTCAGCCTCTATGTGATTCTTACTATGGCAAGAAGGACAATACCACAGCTATCTTTAAAGAGACATTATAGATTAAGCCAAAGAAACCTCACAATTTGCTAAGGTGGAATCATATGATAACATAAGTCAAACAATTATTTTCCCATTAGTTTGTCACACTCATGGGTCTGTAGAGAAGGCAAACTATTGTCTTCATATTCTACCAATAGGACTTTGAGAGACTGAGTCTCCTTGCTCAAGGTCACAGAAGTAACAAGTGCCAAAGCTGGGATTTGAGAGCTTTAGCCAGTATTGTGAGCACAGCAATATGAAGACTTCTAGACATGCAGAGACCACTGTAGAGATGAACTAGGGGTCTCTACAAGATGCAGTAAATAATACAAGTGAGTTGGTGAAAAAAGAAATGTGCACAGGTTGGACAGGAAGAAACAACAGAGCTGTCTAGGAACTGAAAAATCTTTCATCCCAAAAGGGTCTACAGTCCTAAACTCTAAAGAATGATGGGGGTATTTGCCAACCAAAGAGGAGAAAGGGTATTCCTAGAAGTGAGGGCCGAGAATACCAAAAAAGCAGTGAGTTAGGATAGGACAAGAACCTAGAGAAAATGGCAGAAGGGAGGCTGGGCTGGTGAGTTGGGGCTGAGCCAATGCGGAACAGGTCACAGGTCAGTTTTGTTGTGTAAAGACTATTTCCCACACTTAAACATGCAGAAAAGAAGCTACTTTTTTTGGGGGGGGGGGGGCGCGGTGGGAATTGGTCACAGGACTTGAACTCTGGGCCTGGGCACTGTCCCTGAGCTCTTAAGCTCAAGGCCAGTGCTCTACCACTTGAGTCACAGCGCCACTTCCAGGGGTTACTTTTTAATGTTTATAAACCTGTGGATCCTTGTCCCTTCTTTTAGCAATGGGAAGACCAACAAGGGGTTGAGGCTTAGTATGATCCATTGTGGATTTAGCCACAGAATTCTGACTCTAGGGCAGGGGCTCACATGAGGCCAGAGGTTGGTACAAGTAGAGCAGAGCAAAGGATGAGAGAAATAATGATGACACTGATTACGAGGCACTAAATTAAGCCAAAGTTTCTAAGCACTATTACCAAAACTGCCTTGGGGCAAAGCTGGTCTTCCAATAGGGGATGTTTAACAGCATCCCTGGTGTCTCTTTCCATCAGAACAGCCTCCTGCCCCACTTCTTTGGTGACCAAAAAATGACTCCAGACATTACCAGCTGTCTGGACGTAGGAAGCAAAACCAAGCCCCATTGCTGATTTAAACTTTAAATCTAAACTCTACTTTTAATTTAAACTATACCATTCCTAACCATTAAACTTCCTTTCAGGCAGGAGAGCCCCAAGGCAGCCCTGTGTGTCAGAACTGGATCTGATGACTGACTAGAGGGGAAACGCACTTCAGCGTTGGCTACTTAACCACAAAGACAGTAGACACTAGTACATAGTTTGGATTTGAGTTTGGATTTGAGTAGAATCCATTTGCTATTTAAAAACAAAAAAAAAAAAACCTTCTCTGTGGTATAAGCAGGAGGTGCTGGCAAGTTCTTGCTCGAAGTGAATGTAAGAAACCCAGTGAAGGACTGGATTTGCACGGTGCGGTCAGCTGGGATCCAAATCCTGCCTGGACACTTTCCAAACTATGTGGCCCTGAGCACTTAGTAATCTCATCATGTTTTATTTTGTCCTGTTGTAAAATGGGGATAGGAGTCTCTACTCACAGACTTGATGTGGAAGCTTAGGTGCTTAGTAAGAAGCAAACTGACTGGCTAGTGCAATGTGGTAGGTCTTCCTCTCCGTGCTACCTCTTTCTCCTTAACTCCACGCCAGTGAAGTGATCGAGTTCGTGGTCTTCCCCACTCCCACCCCAGTCTTTGGGACCCTTCAGGTGAGCCGTGTGGGAGCTGACTGCGCCCCTCTCCGTGAACAAAGTGTCCCATCGCGGCTTTAGGGGGCGCCAACAGCTTTGCCATTCCCTAATCCACAGATTCCAGGGTGTTGGGGGTCGCCAAATGGGCACAGAATGCTTAGAGCCTCCAAAACGAGCCAGGTAAATAGTTGAACGAGGGCCAGGAGCGTTTGGGGCTGATGAGCTCCTGGCCCGAGGTCAAAGCCAGACACTGGTGCGGACCGGTCGGCTCAGCCTCGTGCCTGGAGGCGTCCAGCCTTGGGAAGGACCTACTCCAGACACCAGGCTGCGGAGGCCCCAGTCTAAGTTGTCTGATCCAATGAAGGCAGCTTATGGAGAGGAGGAAGCAGAAAAGAAAATAGGAGGAAATGGAAGTATTTAAAAAAAAAAAAAGAAGGAAAGAAAGAAAAGAAAAAGGAAACCCTGCGCGATTTCCCTGGGGAAATCCAGCCTACACCTGGGCAGAGGTTCAAGAACAAAGCGGCGGCCTCAGGTCAGAAGTGGCCTGGGTGACTCCAAAGGGACCGGGGCGGTGGGGAGTCGGGGAGACGACATGGAAAGCCGGGTGCTCTGCGCCCTGGGCGCGCGCTCTGGGGCGCTGCTTACCTTCGCCGGGACCGCCGAGCGCGCACTTCCGGGGGCTGCGCTCCGGGCGCACGCACGGGGCCGAGCCGGGGAACCCGGAGCCGATCCCCCACGGGACGACGTGACAAAGTGCTGATCGCGAGTTTCCAAGTTGGCACCGACGCCTCGGAGAGAAATCCCAGCGGCCTTGCCGGGGTCAGGACTGAACTGGGGACGCGGGGTCCCGGCCTTGGCGTTCACGGACGATCGCGCCGAATCCCCGAAACGCTAGTGGAATCCGAATGAGTGGGAAGAAAAGGTTGTCTCATTTCCTTTGGCCTTCCCCTCTCCTCCACCCTCTTCGGCTCCGGACCTGCCCTCCCTCTCTCCCGCCCCCTTCCCCAGCCCCTGTGGGCGCCTACAAGATGCGAAACCTGAACGGCTGCCTGCCGCGCGCTGCCCCTCCCTCTGCTCCAAGTTAGTTCACGCTCCCAACTCCAGCCCGCCTCCCCGCGCTTCCGACTGTCCCCGGGGCCTGGAGGGTCCCGCTCCGGTCGTCCCGCACTGGGTCCTGGACTTCCAGCCTTACCCCCTACCGCGAGGATCCCACATTGAAACTCAGACCTCCCAGCCCCAGCCAGCATCCATCCTCTCATTCCTGCCCTGTCCTCTGCTTTGAGCCTGCATTAAAACACTCGCCCAGACAGGAAATAACCACTTACTTTGTTAAAAGTTTGATCGACTTTTTTTTCCCCCTCCGGTGAAAAGTTTAAAGGCTGATGCATAATCTCGATGGAATGTACATTTTTTATCGGAGAGGAGCTGCAGTCTTTGTTTGGCCTTCCTCCCTTGGGTTTGAGGTTTTTGTTTGTTAAATTCAACAAGTGTTTATGGAGTGTCTGAGAGGCGCTGGGCTGGGTGCTGGACATGCTGAAATCAACTAGGGCATTCTGTTCCAAGACAGTCATCACCGGCAATTAGTGCAGGCCAAACGGGGTCCAGAGATGCAGGGATCTCTAAGACCAGCCAAAGAGTGGAAGAGCCATCTGTGGAATGAGCGCAGCCTGGCCAGAGGCAGGAAGAATGAGAAAACCCCATCAGGAGGCAGTCTAGTAGATGGCAGAGACAGGGTGAAGAGTGATGATGAGGAGCAAGGAAGGGTCCCATCACACTGACAGCCCAACAGGAAAGGGTAGGCGCTCCCTGCAGGGATAGGATGGAATCCTTCTACAAGAGGGGATTACCGCGGATGCCTGCCTAGGGTGGAGAAGAGGAGGAAGTACAGGGAAAAGATTTCCCCCAGTCTTCTGGCTAGAGTAACTTGTGATCCGAATCTCAGAGCACTTCTGGAGCTGCACCTGGCAGTGTGGTTCCAGGACTGGAAATACTCATACTACACAGGAGCTTATTAGAAATGGAGATTCTCTCCACCCTCCCTTGGCCTGCTGAATCCAAATCTGTACTCTAACAAAATGCAAATTCCTGTTTGGGACTGTGGCTCTCTACAACACTGACCATATGTTACACTAATTCTATTAGGCTATGAATCCCAGACTGTATGTTAAAAACACCTGGGAGTCTTTATAAACCAGTAGGAGGTCCTAACCTCATCCCTCCCCCACCAAATACTTCCTTAATTGAAAGAGTCACCACACCATCTAACCACTACCAAGGCTGAGAACCACTGTTTTGGACTTATCCAAGAGTTACTTCATTTAGCCATGAGCTAAAAGAATAACACTCACATATGAAAACAGACAAGTTATCACACTCTCATCCAGTGGCAGCTGGTCTGGTAGAAAGTGACTTTGTTTCCAAAAACACACCAAGGAACCAGGTCCTAGCCTCCAAGAGCTCATAGGTTACTATCTATTTGAACTTGGGCAAGTGTTCCTCACTCAGGCAGACAGCAATTTTCCTATCTGTACAAAGAACACACACTTGACTGACTCTGATTCCCACACCCCACCTGCAAGTGCTCTCAGCACTCCCTTGAACCGGCCAGCTGTATCAGCAGGCAGCTCTGAGGTTTCCTGATGTAATGTAGTGTGTGTGGCTGCCTGGAACACAGCATGCATGGATTCCACAGATCACAGGTTTGTATGTAGAGCACAGGGCCACACACATAGCTGGTGCTCAGTAAATGTTTGGAGAATGGAATACAACACAGTTGCCAATAGGTGAGCATAGATGTTCCCATGAGACCACTTCACCCACGATTGTTTCTTAGTGACTATTTGGCCCTAATCCAGAGCCTGTTCATTTGCATCTCAGTTTGGAGAAAGGATAGAAGATGCACTGTGACCCAGTCAAGCTTTGGATGTTAACCAATCATGACTACTAACAAATGGCAACATATGTTGAACAATTAGAAAATGTCAATCATTGAGTTACTTATCAGTATTACCTCATTTCCTTAAAACACAGCAGAGACTGTTAGATTCCTGCTCTTCAATGGCTTTTAGGAATCATGGATATGGAGGGAGTAAAGTTGCCATCTAGAGCAGCAGGATATAGGCACATGCATTGCTAAGTAAAGAACCCCACTGGGGTTCCTGTTGGTCAGCCTCCATCCTTGCATGGAGATGAAACTTGAGGGAAGTAAGTGGTCCAGATTCTGCAGAAATAATCATCAGAGGATATGTAGGTTATGTCTTTGTCTAGCATATACAGGCCCTGGGTTCTTTCCTAACTAGCACTGCAAGAAAACAAACAAAAGATAACAGCACAGCCTTGTAATCCCATCACTTAGGAAACTGAGGCAAAATGATGGTGAGTTTGCGAACAGCCTGAGTTATACAGCGAGACCTTGTGTCAATAAATAAATAAATAATAAGACTCCTGAGCGTGCTAGTCACTTCATGGTAGTATGGGTGTACACATGTGTGTGTGCATGAACTGCCTTTAATGAGAGCCTTAGCTGACAAGCCTGTGCCAGTCCTGCCCATGCCTTTTCCTTCAGTACTACTGATCTCTCATTTTGTAAGTCTGAAAATTGAAGCTACATGAGGGGAAGATCTATTTATACCTGAAGGCCAGATTTCTTCCTTTTTTCTTTTCTTTCTTCGATCATGGGGCTTGAACTCTGGGCCTGCCTGGGCTCTGTCCCTCAGCTCTTCAGCTCAAGGCTAGTGCTCTACCACTTGAGCCACAGCGCCACTTCCAGTTTTCTGAGTGGTTTATTGGAGCTTAGAGTCTCATGGACCTTCCTGCCTGGGCTGGCTTTTGAACGGCGATACTCAGATCTCAGCTAGGATTATAGGCGTGAGCCACCACGGGCACCCGGCTAAGGCCAGATTTCTTAGTGGTTCACTCTCCAGCTATGTTGCCTGCATCTACCACCAGCCCTGCCTATGTCCCTCCATGAAGAGAGAATCCTCATTTCACAGTTTATTCACTAGATATGATTCCAAGTCATCAGAACTCTTTAAGCCTAATTTTTTTTTCAAATAAATCATCCTTGATTGCACTTTTTAAGGTTTAGGTGGTGGTATGATACTCCATAGCCCAACAGGAGAGTAGGGTAGACAACCCATAAACTGTTAAGGGACATTGAAAACACTGGCCTGATTTACACAGAGATGAGAGTCCAGCTGGGCACTTGTGGTCACACCTAGCTACTCAGGAGGGTAAGATCTGAGGATTGTGGTTCAAAGCCAGCCTAGGAAGGAAAGGCCATGATACTCCTATCTCCAATTAATCACCAGAAAATTGAAAGAGGAGCTATGACTCAGAGTGGTAGACCACTAGTCATAAGCGAAAGAGCCCAGCACAATACCCAGGCCCTGAATTCAAGTCCCACAATCCACAATGGGGAGAAGGGAGGGATTCAGGCTGTGATCTGGGGCTGTCGGTGTGAGAAGCTTTTCTGATATGGACAGGTGACTCCAGCAGATGGGGCTTCCCTGTGGAGTGCAAAGATCATGGACAACCTTGTTGCACACTATACTGAGCCCAGGGAGTGTTCTCATCACAGAGTGAACTCCAGGCCAGAGAAACTGAGCCATTAAGCCACAATCTCCAAAGGAAGACTTTTAGAAAATAACCATAAAAACTCCTTTGCCAGTATATAATATGTGCAGTCAGTACGACAATCACTTTTATAAGAAATGCAGCTAAAACCCGAGGCCTTAAATTTAGTCCTTCTCCCAGTCTGAAGAGTAGTGATCTGCATTCTCTTGGGTCAATTCACAGATAGGAAGTTAAAAACAATAAGGAGCTCAATCTACAAATGAACATCAAAATCACAGCCCTCCCCGACCTCCAATCCCTGGGCTTGATTCTGCCTTGGGTGAGTAAATCATCCCCACATAGTGAAGGGTAGGAAGTCTGGTTCCAGCCTAGGAAAGTACAAATGATTGAAACCAGAATCAGTGCTTCTACTATGGCACTGCTATTTACAAGAAGCCTTCAAACTTCCAGCTCTTATTAATTCCAGAAGTAGTAAATGATCTCCAGGAGTGGTGGGAGCATGGAAGTCATGTAAGTGGAATAATGAAACACAGAGGAAATTGCTTCATAGCCCAAAGAAAGGCTAAGGGATGTACAGACAGAGACACCAATGTGTCACAAATAATGATGTCACTTTAGGAAAACTAGCTGGCTAAGTTTTTCTTTTCTTTTTCTTTCTTTTATCTTTTTTATTAAAAATGCTTTGCCCTGTGGTCATTTCATTTCAGTTTATCTTAGCAAAAGTGAGCCTGAAAAGAAAATGTACATTTGTGTTAAATGTTAGTTTGGAGAAAGGATAACCAACATCTCTCTCTCTCTCTCTCTCTCTCTTTCTCTTTCTCTATTACTCTCTCCCTCCCTCTCTCCCTCCCTCTCTCTCTTTCTCTCTCTTTTATTTTTTTAACCCACTGACTCATTTTTGCCATTGCATTTCATGGCAAAGTAATGAGATTTCTGTTAAATCTCATGGGCAGTCATTAGCCAGGTGGCATTTAAAAGCATTCGTTCCACATCAGCCTGTGAAAGTGAAGCTGGCAATCTGAGTGTTAGCTACTAACACCTCCTAGACAGCAAAAGCTGAAGAATACAACATCCTTTGCTTATAGTTCTTCCAGCAATTTTTATAAGGTCTGAAGGATTTCTTTAATCAACAAATAAATCAATGATGACAGTTATCTCTCTGTGAGGCTCTAATTTCCAGATGTAGATGACCAACTTCACACAAAAAAAGAAAAACAGTCCAAGTTCTCCACCCTTTGTCTTCCTTTCCCAGATATGAACATTTACCCAAACAGAAGAATATGAAGGGATCTATAGAGCACCATTTAGTTGTCAAAAAGAACCTTCCGGAGACTAAATAGCTACAAAGTGAAATCCGCACTCCATTTAAATCACATTTCTTCTCTTTTAAGAAGCAACGTTCTCCAGAAGGATGAAATAGTGAGGAAACAGCATCCATTAAGCATCCTCTTTATCTGTTCTGCTACAGAGTACAAGCTTATCTCATTGAATTATTTCCCAGTCAGAAGAGTAGAGATCTGAATTCTCTTGATCCAACCACTTTATCTTGCATGGGGTAGTAGAGTAGAAATAAAAAATATTTCTCTAGCCTGCTGCTG